TAATAACTGATAGGTCTCTTAAGTTTAATCTCTTGGAGAGCCAGAAAGTATTAGATGGAATAGTTGCAAGTTTCCACACCTCCATAAGTTCTAAGATTTTAGTTAGATACTCTGACCAGTTGTTTCATTCTGTTGAGGAAGTTCGGGCAGACAAGTCGTACTCTGTTATGATTTGTTCTGCCGAACAGGTACTCCAGAATAGGAAGGAACTAGGTGCCAAGTTAGATAATCAGTCACGTAAACATTCAGTCAAACCCTCTGTCGACTCAGACGAGGATTTCGAGCAAGCACCTAAGTTTAAGAGTAAGAAGTTGAAACGTTCAGATATAGATTTGCCTAAGTTTTCTGATTATGTAAAGATTGATCCATCTATTTCCAAACATAGTCTAGATTGTATTAAGGAACTGTCTTCCTCTCGTCCCTCATCCAAATCATCTGTACCACCCAACTCATCTGTACCACCCAACTCATCTGTACCACCCAACTCATCTGTACCACCCAACTCATCTGTACCACCCAACTCATCTGTACCACCCAACTCATCTGTACCACCCAACTCATCTGTACCACCTAAATCATCAGCTCAACCCAAATCATCAGCTCAACCCAAATCATCAGCTCAACCCAAATCATCAGCTCAACCCAAATCATCAGCTCAACCCAAATCATCAGCTCAACCCAAATCATCAGCTCAACCCAAATCATCAGCTCAACCCAAATCTTCAGCTCAACCAAAATCTTCAGCTCAACCAAAATCATCAGTTCAACCCAAATCATCAACTCAACCCAAATCATCAGCTCAACCCAAATCATCTGTACCACCTAAATCATCAGTTCAACCCAAATCATCAGCTCAACCCAAGTCATCAGTTCTACCCAAATCATCAGCTCAACCCAAATCATCAGTTCAACTCAAATCATCAGCTCAACCCAAATCATCAGTTCAACCCAAATCATCAGCTCAACCCAAATCATCAGTTCAACCCAAATCATCAGCTCAACCTAAATCTTCAGCTCAACCAAAATCATCAGCTCAACCCAAATCATCAGCTCAACCCAAATCATCTGTACCACCTAAATCATCAGTTCAACCCAAATCATCAGCCCAACCCAAATCATCAGCTCAACCCAAATCATCAGCTCAACCCAAATCATCAGATCAACCCAAATCTTCAGCTCAACCAAAATCTTCAGCTCAACCAAAATCATCAGTTCAACCCAAATCATCAACTCAACCCAAATCATCAGCTCAACCCAAATCATCTGTACCACCTAAATCATCAGTTCAACCCAAATCATCAGCCCAACCCAAGTCATCAGTTCTACCCAAATCATCAGTTCAACCCAAATCATCAGTTCAACCCAAATCATCAGCTCAACCCAAATCATCAGTTCAACCCAAATCATCAGCTCAACCCAAATCATCAGTTCAACCCAAATCATCAGCTCAACCTAAATCTTCAGCTCAACCAAAATCATCAGCTCAACCCAAATCATCAGTTCAACCCAAATCATCAACTCAACCCAAATCATCAGCTCAACCCAAATCATCTGTACCACCTAAATCATCAGTTCAACCCAAATCATCAGCTCTGGATCAGAAATGGATCCTTCCCAGCCTACTATCCTTACCCACAGCTTCACCTCTACCTTCCTCCAACCTTGCCTGGAAGTTCATCCTACTACTGTGCTTAGTTCTTTTAGATCTGCGTTTAAATTATTATAACCGAGTTAAATTATTTTGAAGGTATTGAAGTATTGAATGATATTATGATTGATGTTGTGCAAAACTATTACTACCGCTTTATTACTGCCAATTGCTGTTACAATTTGTAGAAACTGATTTATACATTTATACATATGATATCAAAAAATCAAATCTCAAAAATAACAAAGTAACAATCTGCTCTCTTTAATTATTGAAATCCATCCAAGTAAAAAGTTGTATTACCAGAGAGGTTAAATTTAAATTTCAAACAACCTTGTCTACAGCTTCTTGGAAGAAAATGGAACCGGATTCTAGTGGACGTTCTGAAACTGGTAGGGCTACAAAACTAAGTTGGAACACATCTTGTTTGAATACTGTTGAACCAAATTCAACTCTCTGCAACAACACAAGCAGACAAAATTTCTCAAAATCCGTTTTATCTGCTCAACTGGTTCTAAATTCTTGAATCCAGCCAAGGGTATAATGGGTGTTCTGGGAGTGCTAGTGCCACAAAACTTTGTGGGAACACTATTAGGGTCAATACCAAACGATTCCTACCTGTTTTGGGGCCATCCGACGAGTTTTAGAAAAATGTTCATTTTTGATCATTTCGTTCATTCCATGACTCAGGGAGTCTTGGGCGACTATTTTGACGTCAAAATATTTAGTAAACACATCCCCCTACACCGTACAATCATCTCCAGCACTCTGCAGCCCCTTTAACAGACTGAAATGACCGTATCAATATCGGATACTCAGGAACCAGCTTTTTGATACGGAAATGGAATTAAGTCTCTAGTGGGCGTTCTGGGAGTGCTAGGGCCACCAAACTTTGTAGGAACACTATAAGGGTCAATACCAAACGATTCCGACCTGTTTTGGGGCAATCCGACGAGTTTTAGAAAAAAAATTCATTTTTGTTCATTCCGTTCATTCCGTGACTCAGGGAGTCTTGGGCGACTATTTTGACGTCAAAATAGTTAGTAAACACATCCCCCTACACCGTACAACCATTTCCAGCACTCTGAAACTACTTTAAAAGACTGAAATGACCGTATCAAAATGCCTCAAAAACCGTATCATCTGGTTCCACAATCTCGGATTCATCTTCTGGACTTCAGATGTAACACGCCAAAACCAAAGTATTAAAGCTTTTTGGCAAGCATCGAGTACGATACGACGCGCAATTGTGCTTGAAGTGACGACGCGCACGAGCGATAAGGAGCTACTTATCGCTCGATCGACCGAGCGATAAGTCCGCGCGGCACCCGACTACCATGAGCCTAAGAGACTGTAAGAGAAATCACCAAGAGAGATCGTAGTCAAGGTGGCAAAATGGTCTGAAATGTCAACTGTCAGGACATTGCAACTGAGAGTATGCTGAACATCGTTGCTGTAGACATGATCAATTAAGGTCCTGCTGTGACTTGTAACTCGTGTTGGTCGTGCAACAAGCTGAAAAAAACCGTATTTCGACATGGTGTCCACTAGATTTTGGCAATGTACATTGTTGCTGTGGTTTATGAGGTCTAAATTAAAATCTCCAGCAAACATTATGTGTTTTCTGTTGTGACGGTCTAAGCTTAATAGTACGGAATCAAGTAAAGCTATGAACTTATCGGGGTCACGTGATGGAGACCTAGAAACGTCAACAATTAGTTTGGTTTTGTTGAGTCCTTTACAGTTGTTAATTTTCACCAACATGAATTCACCTGCCGATTTGGTGATCTCATCTACGTCCCGGAGATTAGGAATAAATTGTTCAATATTCTCAAACTCACACACTCGCTTATTGATATAAATTGCAAGACCACCACCCCGACCCGAAGTTCTGTTTGGGCCCTTAAGTAGAGGTTCATGGAAACCCTCGAGTAAAATATCAGTTACGCCATTGGGCAAATTGGATTCAATGAGATTGGTTTCGTTCAGACATAGGACATCGTACTTGCAGTATGTTTCTATGTTTTCTCGCAGGTGTTCAATATTCTTGATCAGCGATCGAATATTCAGTGAAAATAATTTCAGCTCGTTTGCTCCTGAGTTCTGTACGTGCTTCTGTTCCTTATATCTACATTCTACCAGTATATTTGAAATTTCATCAAAGTACTCCCTGTCCTGTTCATCATCAAGTTGATTACCTATATCATTTGCAATGTTTTCTCTATCATATGGATTAAAAAATAAGTCATGTAGGTGGCTGTAATCATCAAGTAGATGGTGTGGTTCGTAGTTGAAACCAGGAATCATAGATTCACAACATGTTTTACAACCTAACTCGTGTTTCATACACTTGGAATGTATACTTTTTCCACACCAGTTACAATATCTTAGGTTTTTTGGTGAATAGCACCATCCTGCACAGGAATTGCATTTAACTTTGAATACAGGCCCGAATGCAGGCTTCTCGACTGGTGAATGGCACGCATTGATAGGGAGGGCACTGGCTAAACAATCGTAACAGGTCCAAGAAAAGCCTGAAGATATTATGTGCAGGGAATCAGATTTCGAGAGTCTCATACATTTAGGATGCTTGGTGTCGTTGCAAAGTGAGCAAGTAAGCAGAGGCGCGGTTTTTGGAATACGTTTGTTACATTTATCACAAACTTTCGCTTTGGGTAAGCTTGACATTTAAAGATTGCAATTACCGAGATTCACCGATAAGTATTTATACCTGCGGTCTCTATATATAGATATACCAAGAGAAAGAAAAAGGAGGAGGAGAAAAGAGAGGAAGAAGTAAGAAAAATAAGAAAATTAATTTGATAAATCTAACGAGAACTTTCAGTTCTGTGTGAGAGATTATCGTCAAAAATTAAAAATTGAAAAACGAAAAACTGTGTTTACAATTTACTCTTTACTAGACTGAAAATTCTACTTTTTGGTTACCTAGCAACCGTAGAGATTCAGACATTTTATGTTGCACTTGGCAACAGCTTGCTTGTGTTGTTGTAAGTCACTAGTCAGTGTGTCTGTCAGTGTATCTGCATAGTGCAGAGTGTGTACAATGTATTTCAGTGCCGAGTACATGGCACCGGAATCGCGTGTGGCAAATTCCGCCGAATGTATTATTCATGATTCATCAACATTACATTACAGCCTGAGGTCCCTTACTACTGGGGGGCGCCTAGCCTGTCATTCCGCCTTATCTCATAATGTGATTATGGGGACGGGGGACCCCAGGCTATTATGGCTATAATGTATTCATAAACATAGAGATTCGGCGGAATGCCAAGCTGAGTGCCGCCCAGTAATATTACGCAGGAAATTTGTATTATATAATTGAAATACCGTATTCAATTTTACAAGCAAATAAAATTTAGGACATAGTATTGATTGTTGATTGAGGTTAAATATTTTAAAACTCTTATATTAATACAACAGTGTACTCCAAGCCTACATTGCTGACTGCAAATCTGACTGAAGTTATAGTTAGTCAAGGAAATACTCAAACATTATACAAATTTGAATATCTTAATGCTCATTTCAATAGAGTTAGGTTAAATCCTGATAAGCTGGATATTTCTTTTCAGTAGTATTAATAATTTACATATAATAGACGATATTACCATAATATATCACATCCTCATCTAATATCTCCCCCATTATCACGTAGTTAAACAGTTAAACAAAGCTGCATGTTAAGCAGAATGCCATCGTTCCTCGATCAAATCCTGATGCGATATTTTGCATATTTAGCGAAAATCCTTGGTCAGCAGGTATTAGTGACTGTAAGAAAATTATTTTTATTGCCACCCTCCATGATTCCGGAGACGTTGTTCCAACTCCACTTGCTGATAAAACCTCCACTGTACTACTTTTTTCTGCACAGTTCCCCGAAGTTACGCATGCAGGAATGAGGACAATGTCAGGTATCAGCAGTCCCCTAAAATTTCAACTGAAAAAAGTAAAGTTAATAATCCTTTGAATTGCAATCGAAGATTAAAATTACAGGGACGACTGCAATTTTAATTCAATATAAAGATCACTATTTAATGCATAAAATTAATTATCAAAATTCTTATCTGATCAATACTCATATCTCAGACGTTATAATTCATACATGCTACATAAATCTGTCTCCTCCAAGTCGTTGGAATGGCCTGCAATCTGCATCACAAACATCAGAAGACGCTGAAGACGCTGAAGACGATTTACACATTTATTTTTAAAGCGACTGCTAAATAAAAATTTCGTATCACTTATATGTTTTGAACAACCCCCAACACATGTGTTGTACGACGTGACAGGTTTCTCCATTCCACTCGATTTAATGCTAACTGACGTACTGATGTTGTCAACACCAGACGAAATACGATATGCCATAATGAATACCCTCATAAATAATCACAGATAAGGTACATGTAGTAAAATTTCATTTGTCCGTTGTTTCGTAAAATCTTGACATGTCCTTGCCTGATTTTATAATAAAGTATTTTGAGGCTCATCATGTAGCAATATTGATATTCCTGTTTGTTGGACTGTTATTTGCTATAATAGGAGGTAAGTATACTTAGAGATTCTCTAATGATAAATAACATTCGGTGGACTACAGATGGAAAATAAAAGGAAGACTATGCTATTGCTATATACGAATGTTACAACGGGCGCTTAAATATCTAAAATATTTCAGGGACGTACTATTGTATCATAGCAGAGCTCCAAGTTAGATATTTAAGACGCTACTTGAAGAGTTTATACGAGAGTGTCCCTGCAGGCGAAAATTTAGAGGGTGTAAGTTTTACGGTTAACGATATATTAGGGTTACGATATATAGTGCATTAAAGTAACAATTCTTTTAGTACAAATAATTTGAGTGCTTGAAGAAGATAATCCCAACAATATCATGTACAGAAAAATCACAAGATTAAATTTTCTCCATTTTTTGAGATAGTACTGTAACCAACAAATAAACGTGCACTAAATTCCAGGGTTTTGAAGTAACAGTATCTGGGAGCCCAGTTTTAAGAGTCAAATCTCCTCAACCTGTTGTTTCTGACGGAGAAGAGCCTGGTACATCTGAAATGGTATGCTTGGAAAAATTGGAAACTAAAGATTAAATTTTCTCCATTTTTTGAGATAGTACTGTAACCAACAAATAAACGTGCACTAAATTCCAGGGTTTTGAAGTAACAGTATCTGGGAGCCCAGTTTTAAGAGTCAAATCTCCTCAACCTGTTGTTTCTGACGGAGAAGAGCCTGGTACATCTGAAATGGTATGCTTGGAAAAATTGGAAACTAAGAATACCCGTAAATCATATCGTATATATATAAATATAGTACATGAACAATGTACATTGTACATTTATCTAGATATACATCCAATCAAGCACTACTAATTTCCATTTGCTACTTTATTCACCCGCAAAGGTCAGCGAATTGAATTTAACTTTTAGAGGTCGAGACAGTGTGCAATGCGCTGTACTGTCAACATTTTTCTTGTAACATAGATAGCGTCCCAGTAGGCTCAAATATATACTAAACATCATTTCAGGACGATCTTACAGTTACCTCAGTACAAACTGGCGCTAACATTGAAAACGCTGCATTACCTGACACGCAAAATCTATTGAATGCTGACGAGAATTCTACAATTACAGGTGTTACTCTAGTTTTAAATGCGTTGGAATAAAAATGTATAAGTTATATGACTTGTACAGGGTGACCTCCAGCTGATAAGGAAAAGTTTCAAACCAATTGGAAGTGTTCAATCTTTCAATCTATTTTGCTTGAGATAACACAGCCCAACATCCTACAGAAACAGTTAATAAAGGCAAGGGAAGAGCTAAATCGAAGCGCAATTCTTCTGATAAGAACAGGGAATGCACTTTGTGCGGGAATTTTGATAGTAACTATGTTATGGTGTACAGCGATTCCGCAAAGAACAAATCAGAAACTGCTAAAACAACTTTTGAGAACATACTTTACCTCCTCAAAGGTTACTTCCCAGGCGAAATGATGACTTTGTGCAGAAAAGATTTTAGGTCAATTAATCAACTTCGTGCTCAATACTCAAAGGTCAGTAAAATTTGTATATGAACTTGAACGAGTGGGTTGAAAGGGTTATCATCGCCATAATATAACCGGCTGATAAACTATAAATTAGTAAGCTAAAGACGATATGTATTTTGAAAACTCCTGAAAAAACATTTCGTATCAATTTTTAAATCATCCCCCTCTAGGTATAAATTAGTAAGACACCTAACTTGACAGGTAGAAGAGATGCGCGAGAAATTGGGAGATCTTAGTTGCAGTCCACTCAAGCGAAAACGAGAGGACACAGGAAAATACGATATCAGACCTCATACCCTTCGAGTATGTACATAAAGTAGATAGTAATAACTAGTTCCCGATTCCATCAGTCCATAACTAAGCGTGAAATAATACAACTTCGTTAGGTCGATATTTAAAATTACTGCGACTATTCGATTAAATTAAACAATTTTTAACCATTTCAGAGCACCTCCACTATGACAGAAGATCAGTCGGCCCAGCCACAGCCTCTTCAGCAAGAAGATTTGCTCCTAACGATCAGTAGATTGCTAAAATTGGAGAGGAAGAGTATGGTTTCTAAGCTACAGCCGTCAATTTTAAGAGGAGCAAAGTCTGGTGAGATAAAAACTGCGGTCGCATTTAAAATTTAAGATAGCAGAGGAGTTATAGCTTTAATTCTCCTGTTTACCACTCGGTTCTGGTCTAGCTAACGTGTCGAACTTGAGTACGTGTATCGATGGAGAGAAACACACTCAAACTTAATAACGTATCGAAACGGAATATTGTACTCCAGTTGAACTTCATATAAAGCACCTGCACCGTTCACCAGTGACCAGACAGTTAGGAGAAGGGAAGCCACTCATTCAGGCCGAGGAGCAAAGGGACAGTGGAGGACCGTCGTCAGCTGTTAAAATTACACATTTTACGTGTCGGTGTACTAACTACTATTATGAATAAATATGGTACTCGTTCGTTTGCCCCCATTTATTAAGTCTCTCGCTTCACAGGAGATATATTCCCCGGGTCCACGTATAATCATCGGAGAATTCTAGCAACATCTCCGTTGGATATAACCAAAGACGTGCAGACGAAGAACTGTGACATCATATACACGTTTTTGAGGAACCTCATGGATAAACCCGACGACACTGAAGACGGTGTCAACCACAGGATTGGTATCGCTGTTTCAGTAATTATGAATCTCACTAACCAACAACTGAACATCTACGCAGATAAATTAGGAGTTATGATGATCGCTGCTGGTAACTGTATTTAAATTTTTGTTAGTTTAGCAAACAACAAATCATAGTCCATATAAAATATACAATGTTTATTTGATTGTATTGATCCTTGACCTATCAATGATCCTAAAGTTACATATTATAAGGTTTTAGTAAACATTTTCTCTACAGGTCTGCCAAACAGTGCATTAGACATCGTTGGCACAATGGGAATCACATGCGGTAGTCAAACTGGTAGAGAAATTATTAAAGATGCAGCGAAGGATTCAAAGTCTCTGATATTAAAAGCGGTAGAATTTAGCGGAACAAAACATAATACCGAAGAAATTAAAAAATTTCTGGAAAAATTGGCAAAAGAGCCATATTTGTTTATTGGGAGGAGCAAAATGAGTCACCAGATAATTTATAACGGTCAGCGATAAATATTTTAAGCCTTTAGTTATACTATTCTGATCAAGGTTTTCAAAAATGTTGCCATGATTTTGGCTATAACGATTTCTTCAATATCATGGTAACTGCCAATAAATCAGCATATTATACGCAGTTTCAATTTTAAACAAATATTATTGCTTATCGTCTTAATCTCTTAATAATAAAAATAATACTATACGTGAATTAGGGTGACTCAAACAGCTAATTATTAATATCTCAGCGACGGGAGGAGTAAGTATAGCATATGAGTGTGACGCTGAGTTGTTAGCTAATGTGGACAACCCTTTGTCACCTGCTGTGGATATTGTAGGGGATAACTTCAATCGAAACATTGGAAATGAAATATGGGGAAAATCAGTGCCAATTGATGTGTTTCACATTGCTGGAATACTGAGACAAGTAAGAGCGCTACCAACCCTTTCATGGACTAAGCCCGAAATTCCACTCGAGAAATTGGAAGGTGAGCGAACACAGCAAGAGTTTTAACTGTAATATTATGAAATATTTAAAAAGTAAAGCTTGTTTGAAGCCAGCCAGATCTGGACTTACTTTAATATACTAAAACTTTGTGACCCACGCTCCATCCCCCACCGGACCTGTTACCAACTTACAGTTATTATCTTCCTCAGTAAGTCATCTCTGCCCATCGACTACTGATTTAAATCAGTTTTCTCTGGATTCAGAATATCTTGTCATGATAGTATTAGTAAACAGAGATGACGATCTATCAGACTGTAAAGAATGGATAGATACTCATCTGCATCATCCACTAAGGGAAGTGATGGACCAAGCGACCGTGACTGTACCTCTCGGGATTATACCGGAGAATCAGACAAGTACTGCTGCCAATGTGAAGATTCTAATGGAGTGTGAGCAGTATATGAACAAGTCAAATGTAATTATTTAGCGAGTCACGTAGATTTCGATATCTAATCCTCTAGCTTTACAATTATAGTTCACGATATGTGTGGCAAACATGTCCTGGAAACTCTGAATGATATAAGCAAAGAATTTAATCATATTCACTACACGGTAACATAACTGATAACACATATTATTTTAGCTGACATATTTTTATGGTGACTATCTTACACGGGAGAGGTTACAAGGAGCTAAGATAAGCCTCTCTAGTGTGCCCGATTTACATCTGCACAAGACCGTGGAAGCAGATGGAAACTTCCATACACTTATAACGTTGCTAACGGTAAACACAAAAATGTACCTATTCCACGAATCCGATTATCCGACAACAATTCCTCCGTCCTCTTCGGTGTTTTTACTCTTTTTAAAGTAGAGGCATAGGAACGGATAGTATTATGCATGTATTTCACCAAATCTCCTCATAAATGTTATGTATCGTAGCGTAGACACACTCGCACTACCGGTAAATTTTTTATCTTGAAAAAAAGTGAGTAGTTTTGATTTGATTTTATTTCTTTTCAGTGTATCATGAAAATGATTCATTCAGAGGAGAGCAAGCTTGACAGGGCGTCATTTACGGGAGCCTGTTATTCTTTGGGTAACTCAAAAGCAGCAACTACGAAGGTCAAGGCGAATTACAGCAAAACTCGTAACGCTTTCATTATATATTATCAAGCCGTACTACATTCAGCTTGGTTGGAAATGCTTAATGATTATCCCGTGATGAAGGAAGAATTGGAGTCTGCTAAAAAAGAAGGGAAGGAAGCTTTTCTTACAAAATTAAGGTTAGAAACTTTTAGAAACAGAAAAAGTTGTAAACTTTTATACTCTTTTTTAGTATGTGGGCGTGGGGTAAAATATTTAAAGCCCCTAGGCCCTTATTCAGACTCCTTATGGGCTGTAAAGTTCCAATGAAGTATCAAGTTTGATATGTGGCAAGAAAATCACCTAAATCGCACCTTTAAAGCTTCAAGAAGTGAGGTAACAAATTAGTTCAGTGGATCTGCACTAACTTATCAGAAGGAATATACTCGTATCCGGGAGTTGCCATTACCCCAACAGTTACCATCAAATGAGTTTCTATTTCAGGTTTAATGTGAAGTTACTGTTAAAACGTATCCTTCAGTTCAACAAATCCCAATGGGTCAGAAATAGACCATTACTATCTTGCAGACATTGTCAGGTACTTAGTCGCTCTTGTCAAATGAACTTTATTGAGGCAGCATAACAGCATTGAACATTGAACATACAAAATTATATACTGATTCCTTTTCTTTTGAAAAACATCGGTATCATTATTCGGTCTTGCAGCTATTCGACTGTACAGCACTATGATTCTTTGCTAGATTAAAATATAGAATACACATTATACATGCTATATGCGTGGATAATTAAAACAAGGATTTGACTCTTGGCAATACGACTTATTGGCAATACAATGGGAGAAAACAATAAACTTGCACAATATCGACTATTCAAACTTTCGTACTTCAACATCACTTGTCATAAGAAAATGTTCGCTGTATCGCAATTAAAATTCATTTATCAATACCTTTTAACCAAACCAGTATTTTAATCATACTAAATTCGCAGCAAGAGTACAATAATAGAGGATTACTGCAACTACATTTAAGGGATAAACATCAATTGAAGGATGAGTCTGCAGCGGCCATCATCGAAGCGGACTTTAGCCACCTTTTCGAAATCGATGAACTGTGAGTTTAAACTAAACACCAATTTTACCATTTTTCTGGTGGTCCGATGCTATATATAGCTTCTGTATAGCTTCTGTATAGCTTCTGTACAGCATCCGATGCTATATATAGCATATATGTGTATATACACAAAATTTTATACAGATGTTTTGTGAAATGTATGTTGTACACGTCAATTGGGGGTGTTCTCGCAAATAAAATAATTGGTCACTCACTTTTGATGCGTTAGGAGTCTATATCGGTGTACGGCGCCAACGTTCTTCTAAGTTTACACGTCACTGCTGATAATTAATTGTTACATTATTGTGAGTGGAAGAAATATACATTTTTTACTTGAAAAATTGAACCAGACGGATAATAATTAAGTAAAATATATAATGTTCTATCTAAACCGATGTTTCAGGTTCAATTATGGAAGATTAGTCGTATATTTAGGCTTGCTTTTAAGCAACTTAGAGAAGGCTATTTCTTACGGAGATGGTGATCGCGAGACCCGGTGCTTGAAATTGACCATACCCATCTTTCGAAGAATGGGCAGAACCAAGTATGCTCAGTCAATGTTGAGACGGGTTGTAATGATCAAAAGCGTGCTCTCCGAAGCTGATGCCTATGAGTATCGCCATAATACAACAATTGGTAAACATTTTTCATTATTGATCGCTACACTAGTCATACACAATAGTTCTGAACTGATGTCACAAATTCCTAACATTACAAAAAGGAATATTGTACAGTTTACATTATCATTTTGGGATGTATGCCAACATATAACTGGACACTTGTCTTTGTTTCAATAAGGGATATCGAATACGCTTCGGATATGATAAACGTTTCCATCATTCAAGTATAGAGTAGAGTAGCATCAAACACTATAATACATGCATTTGGTAATTTGATAGTGATTCACTGGATAACATTGTAGTATAATATAATAATTACAAACTTTCAGGGCTTGGAGTAGGCCCAGGCAGGAGAAAGTCGGTAGACTACTACATGGAGCTGCTCAATAATATCCTGTCTAGAATGATCGGCAAAACTTTCACCCTTGAAACATTGATGAAGACAGCAAACGCTCTGGGGTACCTGCACACGATCAAGAAGGTAGTGGAGGAGGAGATTAGAGGTTAGCTACCATGATAACTCAACTCCGAAACGAAACTAAATTTCATTGACTCAATTCGAGAGTATCAAAGCCAATAATTCGCTTTGCTGCAAAAATAATTTGATATGACCTAAACAGGGATAAAAAGAAAGAAGAACAAAAGGAAGGAAGTCGGAGGTATTTATGAGAAATTGCTCTATAATGTCAAAAACGGAGAGTTATTTAAATTTACTCCGAGCAGAAAGTCACCTGCCGGCCTCTCGATAAAGAAGAACATTCACTTTGACAACAGGAGCAAAATAACGATGACAAACTGGATGTTGACAAGTAAATAACTAATCTAGCTGCTGATAAGTAGTACATGATTCGCAGTGTAATTGTAATATAAATAAAGCTTAAAGATTGGTTAATTGGCTGCAAGTCAAGCTTGCAATAAATTTGGACTAGATTGTTGGTTTAAGTATCTATTTTAAATCTGAAAATCTAGCGGGGTTTGATTAATAAAAAGTAAATACGGCAACATGCGTTCAGAGAACTAAATTAACACAGAATATTTTGTATGGTGCTTATTATCATATCCTTAGGTTTGATAAGATATCAGAACACGTACTACAAGAATAATACTCATGCGGAAATCGGAATGATTGAAACAAATGAAGATGATGAGGATAAGAATGATGAGGAAGATAAGATGATGAGGAAGAGAAGACAGAAGAAGAAGATGAAGACGTTTCGGATAACGAAGATGATCTCTTACAGGAAGAGTTTCTTGTCCAATTCGTTAACTTTGTAGACGAAAGAATAGAACGTAGTTAAAACTGCACCATTTACAGTGATAATGATATTAATGCTTTTCATACAAAGTTATAACGAATTCTTCATGTCGTGCATCCTGGGTTTGGACAGAATATGCCCGCTTATCAAGTTAGACAAATAGAACATAATAAAAAAGTCCGAATTTTATAGAGCGTTTATATATTACGTCAGCAGCCGAGAGATGGAGGGGAGGGGAGGGGTCTCGGCCTTGCTGAATGTCCGCAAACATACCTAAATGTTGGCCAAAATTGATCTAATTCCAATGAATTTGATTCCAGCTTGATATTAATATTTCAGTGAAATAAACTTAATTGTAGAACAACTGTATAAAATCAGTCGACTGAGCCCCATTTTAAATTTGGTCCAGGGGTCGGGGAGAGGTCTAGCAAATGAGGACGTATATTGGGGAGCCGAGGGGAGGGGGGAGAGTCGCCAAATGCTAACAGTTACTGACAGAGAAGGGGAGCTAGAGCTTGGGTAAAAATTATCAAAACGTTGCTCACGTAATATGTGAACGCTTCTTTATTTGATGAGCGTTTGCGACGAATTACCCCACCAAGCCGTAGCTGTGCGGCTCCACGTGATACTGAACAACCATTCGATATTTTACTGATTTGACTGTGATCATCAGATCTTTGCAAGACGTAACACATTTCAAATTTGCAACTATAACACACATATTTTTAAACAATCATTAATCTCAATAAGTCATGCTTACAGGAAAATTGACCAGAAAATATCCTCCATGACACAAACGGTTGATATCCATTCGTCCCTGAAAAAATATTCATTAAATGTTTTCGCCATGAAACGGACCAAACAGATCCTAACTCATATTCCACTATTACTAATCATTGCATATTGCTGAAAAATGAATCATGATAATTTCAGCTTAGCAGCTATCATAAGTTAGTTTATTAAAATGTTCCACTGTAAAACTCTGTTTCAAAAATTCCCAATTTATCGACATTTAAATAAAAACCTTTTATAGTTGTATTTGACAAACATTTCGCACAGTTTGAGAGTTATAGTCATCAGCTGAAACACGCAAAGCAAAGCATAAGGCAAGTCGACTTGTTTTTCTCCTGTAGACAGTAGAGTAGTGTCTTAGTAACCATCCTATAAGAAAATATCATTTATTGATAAGACATAAACATATTGTATCTAAGTGCGACAGATTACCATTATATCAGATATCAGAATTTTGGAAATTAAATTAGAGAAATATGTGAATCAACATTAAATAGGTATTCATTTCATATTCTTGTTCCAAATATGATAACTTGGTTAGTAGATACAATAATGATCAGGAAATATGTTAGAAAATGAGCAGTTAGCAGTACACATTAAAAACAATAAAGATTATTCGATAAACTATTTTGAAGCTGTGTTTCAACTTTCGTATTGATCTTATACCGCCTGATTTTAATGTAAGACAATTAAATGTTAGCGCCTCGTTTATCGATATCAAGAAGACTTTTTAGCACGATACATTCAAGTGTAGCCTATAAATCAAGTATGAACCGTGTAACGGGATATTTAAACCTTATAAGGAGCGCTACTTTGTACGGTCCCCTGATTACAAATTTATGATTTATATGTCACTTGATATCGGCGCGCCGCCCACGTGATTTCTCAAAGAATATTTCTAGGTGATTCTATTATCGACCAGTTTCGGTAAAAATGTAAAATGTACTGAAGATGGCATGAACAGTGTACACCGAGATGTAAGGGAGATGTAATACATGGCATGTAGAGACATATTTAACATATACATTATAAACTTAACTTAAATTTGAAATGCTTTTACTGGGCACATTTAAATTACGGAATTGTCACGTGGGTATCAGCATTTGCAAAGAATATAAGAAGCTCGGAAGTCCATGACCACATCCAAATATTATTTTAAAATATTATATATTTTAAAATATTGTTATGACTCGAAATCAAAATGATCCGTGCTATATTTAGGAAACCTAAGTATAATATTAAGAAGTCGAGTACACACTTCAGTGTATTGAACAACAAGCTATACTACAAAACCCCTCAATTAATTAACGCAGAGATATAAAAGTCGTAATACCTTCAATTATAAGGTATTATTCTTAAAACCGAGCTCTTTGCTCCACCCCGGCGATCCAGTGACTGCATAACTTAACTGTAAAATTATCTGTTATAAAATTATTTGTTATCCCGCAGTCACCAGTTATAGAGTTATAGGCTACTGCGTACTCCAGTGACCCACTCATCAATATAGGGCCTGTCGTGATATCATGGATCGCTTAGGTTCCACCAGGATCTGGTAGTCCTCATAATTCTGCGGCCTCTATGTGTCGTCATCTCGCACAACTCCGAAAAACCGTTGTGAGTTTGGCATGTGAAAATTTGCAGCCTTCCAGACATCGATTGGGTTAACGAGTTGTCGTACGTCACCTCAAGATCGGGTGACAGGGGGCTGAACAGGCCAGAACCCAATTGATTGGGTCTGAGGTCACGTGATTATGAGCCTGAGGTCACGTGACTATGACGTCACCAGAGCTCGTTCTCCGTTTCCCGCTCTTTGGACCAGGTGAGCTTGCATGCATGTGAAAGTGGGTGTAAGTACAGCTGTACTGTAGTTACATCCAATTACCCCTAGGCCCTAATAGAACGAAGATTTATTTTCTGACAGAAAGCTAGAAATTTACCAAAATATCGACTTTGTTCAAAATTTATTTTGATGACCACTCCTGACCTAAAATTGCACGAGAAATCGATTAAACTTGGTTTCAGAACTCAACAATGCTTCCTTATGCCTTAAAATCCATGTTTTATCGATACAATAAACATTTTGATCCTGTGGATTAATTAGTAACAGGTAACAAATGCACAGAAAAAACCATCGCACTTACATTGCATTCTTAACGGGTCGATTTCGAGTGACCAATAATCGTCGTGATGATATTTATACGTCATGCGTTCCTGATCATCATCAGCAATCAAGAGACAGGAGCGGCGGTTGCTTCAAATCAATGGTTTACGTTATTTTTGTGAATTCGACCCCTGTTTTAACGGTTATCAGACTTTGTAATGGAATGTATTGAGGATATCTTTACAAATAAGAGGACCAGTAAATAAAATTGCCACAAGTGTTTCTCTCACTCACTTTCGATAAGACACAATGAAAATTCTTACTTAACCATAAGATTCGGAATTTTTCAACCGTTGAAGAATATCGGAATTTTATAAAATCTAATCACACTTATGAACCTTTGAACGGTTAATCGAAAAATTGTGAATGATACCGCTGCAATTGTCTTATCAGTTATATGTATAAAAACCTTGCGTTAGGTGGCAGTTAAATGAGGAATGAGTTGTTAGAATTCGGGCACCCTGAATCGGTCATTCTGGCTAAACTAGGTATTTATTTAACACCATAGTACAGCCTTTAAATGGTGTTTTATAAAAAAACACCGGTATTCTTTAAAATATTCATGAAACTTATATATGATAATATACAAAAACATATATAATATTGTATAATTATATACATCAGATTTCCATTTTGTGTCCTACGTTCCGAATCTTATGGTTAAGTAAAAATTTTCATTGTGTCTTATCGAAAGTGAGTGAGAGAAACACTTGTGGCAATTTTATTTACTGGTCCTCTTATTTGTAAAGATATCCTCAATACATTCAATTACAAAGTCTGATAACCGTTAAAACATTGGTCGAATTCACAAAAATAACGTAAACCATTGATTTGAAGCAACCGCCGCTCCTGTCTCTTGATTGCTGATGATGATCAGGAACGCATGACGTATAAATATCATCACGACGATTATTGGTCACTCGAAATCGACCCGTTAAGAATGCAATGTAAGTGCGATGGTTTTTTCTGTGCATTTGTTACCTGTTACTAATTAATCCACAGGATCAAAATGTTTATTGTATCGATAAAACATGGATTTTAAGGCATAAGGAAGCATTGTTGAGTTCTGAAACCAAGTTTAATCGATTTCTCGTGCAATTTTAGGTCAGGAGTGGTCATCAAAATAAATTTTGAACAAAGTCGATATTTTGGTAAATTTCTAGCTTTCTGTCAGAAAATAAATCTTCGTTCTATTAGGGCCTAGGGGTAATTGGATGTAACTACAGTACAGCTGTACTTACACCCACTTTCACATGCATGCAAGCTCACCTGGTCCAAAGAGCGGGAAACGGAGAACGAGCTCTGGTGACGTCATAGTCACGTGACCTCAGGCTCATAATCACGTGACCTCAGACCCAATCAATTGGGTTCTGGCCTGTTCAGCCCCCTGTCACCCGATCTTGAGGTGACGTACGACAACTCGTTAACCCAATCGATGTCTGGAAGGCTGCAAATTTTCACATGCCAAACTCACAACGGTTTTTCGGAGTTGTGCGAGATGACGACACATAGAGGCCGCAGAATTATGAGGACTACCTGATCCTGGTGGAACCTAAGCGATACATGATATCACGACAGGCCCTATCATCAATACCACACAAATCCCACTACATTTAATTATTACATTTTAATATTCCTCTAATACCAGCTTCCTCCTTCGTTAAAAAATTAATTTGGGTGAAATTAAACCACTTTTAATGACTATTCAATATTTAAATTGGAAAGTTAAATAAGATATTTTGTGTTTTATGAAATGTCAAAATTATAAGTATTACAACTGTTATAATAAATAAGTTGTAAATCTCCTACGTATATAATATTTATTACTATATTACTAGAGTAGCAGAGTGTAGTCAAGTGTGCACTTCGATGTCCAAAATTTCATTATATTAGGTCATTTGAAACCAAATTCATCTAGGTAAGCGAGCACTATTAGTGCTGTGAGGGCCGATACTTTGGGGAAGGAGGGCTAACAGTGTGGATTTTCGTGAATATATATATGAAATAGATAGAATTGAGGATAGATAAAGTATGAATGTACTTGGTCAATTGTTTCTAAATCCTTTATACAAATATCCCAAATTTGCACCTGAGGGCAATTTAGAAATTTCGCCCTCTACGACTGGCCATAGCGATACTAATTATTGGGTATCTAGATGATTTTGGTTTGGAATGACCTAATAATCAACGATTACACTTGACTACACTCAGCTACTAGAGTAATACTCTCGACCGTGCGATAGCAAACCTATATCATATTTAAGGAAGCAAATCAGGGCGGGCAACGACAAATATAATGTTTATATTGCTGACAGGAGTCCAGAATTTTCTCTGTCCTATTCCCCGTAAATCCAGTATAGTTTCTCAATAAGCAACCAAATCAATCGTTACCATGATAAATTTGACCAAAATTTGAGAAAAATAGACACTGCTCTAAACACGGTAACTACATGTGCAGCAGCATTTCAAGGTTAAATTGCAGATATGCAAACAGTAAGATATTATGGCTTGTAAATTGTAGGGAATTACTAAAACACAGTAATGGCCATGGGTCTGTTGCTTTGGAAAATAAAAGAGCAACAGTTTTCAAATACGTATTTTTAAACGTCTTCATTATCATGTCTTCCTGGTTATGTTTGAATACATTCAATTGAGCAGATTGACTTAAGACCAGCAGTCAGCACGTTATCATGCGAATCATTATAATTGTAAAGAAGAATTGATATCAGAGCACTCAAGTATCGTAAGTTAATTGTTAAACCAACGAAAACAGCATTAACATTGCACATAACTATGAGAGTTCGATGATCACAACTTCGATAAGTAAGTAGAATTAAAACTGTTGAACGGTAATCTGTTGAAAATTAACAGTCGAAGGTTGAATATTCATAAACATAATGTAAGGTAAGACAAAATCATGTCCCTAAAAAAATCATGTCCCTAAAAAAACATTGTTTTAGACTCCTCAGGAATGTTATCAGAAGAAAGTATCTTTTTAGTAAAGCTCAGCTTAAGCTCATTGTTAATAGCATTATCGTCTGCAAATTGGATTACTGCAACGCCCTTTACTTTGGAATCAGTGACTACCTCATCCATCAGCTTCAACTCATTCAAAATGCTGCTGCTAAAGCAATAGTAGGACTATATAAACATGATCATTTAGGAGATACTCTGAAAGACCTTCATTGGCTGCCTATCAGTTACAGAATTCAGTACAAATTATTACTTCTTGTTTATAAATGTCTAAATGGCATGGGACCAGATTATTTAAGTACAATGTTCAAATTTGCAAACTATAATCATCTTATCTATTTGACTGAACCTAGAGTGCACACACAATATGGAGAAAGATCTTTTCAGAAAGTTGGCCCTAAATT